ATATATATATATATATATATTCATAGAAATACAAGGCTTCAAAAGCTAGCAAAATCAGGGGTTGGACGAGATTGTAACGGCGAAATTTGTGTGGTAGGGGTATTTGACGAGCAGTCTGAATGTGTGCTATTGCGTACAGCTGGCTGCAGTAAGCTGACTGCGTGCAACATGTGGGTCCGGGTGCGGACGCTGCACTATCTATAGCCTTACAAGCCGAGAGAACCCTTGTGCTTCGGCTATCTAGTGGATTAAGCGGGTTTTGGGGCTCTAATCACGCTTATCTAGACCGTTTTTCGACCCGACAGTATCCCTTGTGCTATACTTGGGGTCACAGTTTCACCACAGAAGAAATCTCAAGAACCATTTTTATCGTAAACTGTGCCTCTAACAGTAACGCCTAAGTAACCCAACTCTATGTTTTCAAACTCGAAGGATAGTACAAAATCAACATTTTTGCTTGAAATCACTCACCATTTCCATCCTTAGTACTAGAGGAATGTCTCTTCAAACTCCACTGTTTTTTGGTCAAGTTCGTAGAAAAATATTTCCAGATTGTTCCGTACTACACAACCATTTCGCCGATTTTCATCAACTTTATGGTACGACGATCGCAACAGCTGAAAGAAAACAGACTAAAATCGCTCACCCTCCAATCCAGCAAAAAGAATGAAGTTTATTTCGAAACATACAGAAAAATGTGGCATAAATAAATAATAAACAGTTCGATGGTCAGAGTTGATGTTTAGTGATCGAGACGGAGATCAGAAGCTAAGAACTCTGTTCATGAAAAACCAGAAACCGAAAAAAAAAGTTTAGAGGCTTCAGGAGTAATTGAGTTAGATCCTTGAAGTGGGCGAATTTTACATTGAGGTGGGCGGGGTTGAGCTCAAAGGTCCCTCAGTTTGAAAGTTCTATAATCCGCAAAAAAAGTGTATAAAGGCCCCCTGAAGCCGAATGTTCCGTCCCCCTACCCACAACCGCAGTTGTGGCGTAACGTAGGGCGTGACTTGTGCAGCCCTCTTAAAACAGCGTAAATGACAGCAGTAATCAAATCTTAGCCTTTGTAATCGACTTTCTTCTTTTTTTTCAATTCTTGTTCCTGTTTTATTTATTTTTGTTGTTTTTCGACTCTGAAAATGACTACCGGAGCCAAGAAATTATCGTCAACAGTTTTGGAAATGAAGGTAGGCTGATGCATTACTCCGTTGTTTTTCTTTTCCAGTTTTTTTTTTACTGGTTACTTTCGGCGGGGGAATATAATCGGATTTTCGAGCAAAATTTTGTTGAAAAATTATGGTGTATCAATCTAGTCATTACAAAATATATCGTGAAACAGCTAGACGGCCTATTTGAATGAGGAAACCTAGTACTTGCTTTCCAACGAGAAAATCTGTTAGAAGGAATAGGAAAATAGGTCCTTTATGATTTAGATGCAGAGGTTGGTTATGTGAAAAAAAAAGTTCAGCTTGCTACAAAGGACTTGCTCTCAAAAACTTCAAAATTCAGTTTTTTGACACTAAATCGGGTATATTCAGGAATGCGCCAATGCATTCTTTCCATTAAGAATCTTAATAGCGTTTGAGAACGTGTATGGCTGTGTAGAGGCCAGCCCGGGCTTAAGTCAGTGCTTAATTCTTCCCATATAGGCCTTGTACCAAACAATTGATCCAGATTAATTGAAAGATTGGTTGGCTCAGCACGTTACACTGTCATGGTCATAGTAGTGTTTATCAAAGTCTGACCTGTGATTACGACCGCATCCCCCCCTGAAAAGTCATTGAGACATTCACATGCTTGTGATTGTAAAGGGGAATCACATGGCCGTTTTCTATCCTGGATATTATGGACCTTAAGGCTCTTCTTATCTTGAACGACCATACACGAACTCTATACTCCATATTTTCTTCTTGTTCGATTTTTTGGTTGGGCTGACCATGAAGTTATTGAAGTTTACCACCTGGAAGTCGCAGAATGCGGATCACTTATGATTGAGTTGCGGGTGTCGGTGAACTACGATATTATCTAAAAAGTGTGCGAAGAAAATCTAAACAGTAGTAGTCGAAGATTCAGATTTATCTATCAAATATTTTAGTTCATGCAAAGAACTAAAAGGAAATTGGAAGCAAGAGAGAGAAAGAAACAAGAGGCCGAAATGAAAAAGAACTGTTTTGGAAATGAGGACGTCGCATCAGATTCAGGATCAAAGAGGTCAAATGTTATTCCGTGCTTTCCTTTTTCCTCACAAAAGAATTCCGTCACGAATTTCCGAAGATGTCACGACACTAGCTGTCATTTTTAACGTGAATTTCCCTTATTGCTTACATAACGCTGCAAAGCTTTAGTATAAGACATGATTGGACAGATCATCTAGATATTCTCATTTTTATTTTTATGAGAGTTTTTTCAAGTTACGATTAGTTGGAACAAATAATATTTCAGGCCGGACTTTGAATTTTCAAGCGATCTAACAGTTTTAGAAGGTCTGAAATTTGGGAGAATGTCATTTAAAGGCTGCAACCCAGAAGTCGAGGTGGTTACGCTATTATTTATTTATCAGTAATGTATGTTTATAGTACAGAGCAAATGCAATATCGGAAATTCAAATGCTATCTATGAGCCAATTATTTTGTGCTTTTATGGTTTCCAGCTGTACTAGCTCATGTTGGATAGTTTCGGCTGTCTCACGCAAGCCCATTGCTCTGAAATTTTTAGATTATGACCTCTGGCGATCCTTCAAAATTTGCGAGTCCCCATTTCCTTTTTTCCACAGCACTGTGCCCATTTTTTGGGTATCCTTGTTCGAAAACTTCTTAAATTTATCATTTCTAGAAACTAATGGTATACTACGAACGCAAAATGAATGGGGATTCCTCCGACTCAGACTCTGACTACGAGAAAGATATAGGAGATATTGAGATGACTACGACGTAAGTTGCACTCGACGCCTGTCTTGGGATTTGTATACATTTATTTTGTTTCAAGGCTGCGTGGTGGAGCAAAAGCCAACAAGAATAAAAGTATAGAGGTACTACTGTTTCTTTCTTCATTTTTCATTTGTTTCATTTTTCATTTCATGGTTTTCTTCTGTTGTTTCTTCTTTCACTTAATTGTTTTACGACTTTTTACTTCTTCCAACGACAACCTGACGACAAAAACTTCGCAATAGTAAATTCGCTTTCGGTCCCACGCATCACACACATCACCTCTTGTAGGGAAAATCTTTTGTTCGCCCGCCCAATAACCCATTCTCTAATTCTAAATTGTGCCTATAGTGAGCTTGATAGAGCGTAGTCGAGCAATACCATCAAGATGATTCTCTTAGGTTTAGTGAGAGAAACAGGAAAGGTGAAGGAAAAGGTATTAAAGGTTTAGATACCATCCCACACGAATAAATATTTTTGACAGTACTGTCTAGGGCTTCATCTCTGCTGCTTAAACGTTTGTAAATTCATATGTTAACGGATTTTATTGGAGTTGATTCCGTAACAACATTGTTTGCAGAAAATCAAAAATTCCTTTACGGGTCTGAATGAATCAAGTACGGGCGAAAAATTAAATTTCATTGATGTTCGTAAACGAGGAGCCCAACCAAATTGGGCTGGTCCACCAACGAAGACAAGAAAAAGTTGTTAATTGTTTGCGTAAGTTGTTGACGCTTGGTTCTATTTGTTCATTTGTTGTTTACATTGATGTGTTTCTTTGCATTCTTGATATGTGATTGGTTGTTACAGATATAAATAGCTGCACTTGTATGTCAGTGAACTATACAGCTTTATTTGAAAAAAAAATAACAGGGAACAGTACAATTATAACAGAACTTTTAAATTTTAACAATTATGAATGCACCGCTAGTTATTCGGTAAAAGTACTCGTATAATAGAAACAAACGGAATTCCAGCATAACAACCACTATTACTATGAAAGCTAGCTATGAGTAAAGGTGATTACGTATAGATTCATGCAACTATCACATATTTAATGTTTTTTTGTTTTCTTCGTTGATCCTGCTTTACGCTGCGACTTTAAGACTTTTACAAGGTCCTGAAATTGTTCATAATAAGCGATGGGAAAGTTTCATAAATTAGAGCCACATACCTGCTTTGCTCCTTTCTGTCGCAACGGGACGTAGGCGTAGGGCTGAAGTTTCTGGTTTTTCTTATCGCCACTGCCTTTAGCACTTCGATTCTTGCCACTTTTTACTGAAGTATCGCGATGTATTCCTTGACCACCTGGACGCCATGTGGATGCACCACTCACGGTTGAATGTTTGGCGCTCTGCAATACGAACGGAAATAAATCATTCTCTGAATATACGGAATGTCGAAGTCTCAATTAAATTCGCCGGTTTTGAGCAGAGGCCGAAATTCTCAGGCTACAACAAGCTTAAACGTCTGTTCGAAAGTTCACTCACCTTAATATTTTTATTGTCATCCTCAGAATCAGTTTCCATATCACTGTCATCTTTTTTCTTCTTGTTTTCGAGAGGGAAGTCGTCATCCAAATCCTCCAAATCACCACCTCGCTTTCTACGCTTCCGCTTTTGTTCATTGTCATCGTCTGCAAGGTGAACACTGAGAGATCCGAGATGATTGTGAAGCGACCGACATTTTCTTTAGTTACAATGCAGTGCTTTTTAAAACCCTGCCAATGGCTTACTTCTACCAAGACATCTCTACATACTTAAAATTAGATTTTCTTAAACGCAATGCTAACGGCTCGGCTTCAGAGCATCCATCCTATCGTTTCAGAGAACGAAATTTTCAAACAATCACATAGCATTCTAAAAGCAAAGATTTACCACTGTCAACAATCACTAGCTTTCCATCCTTCGAGATTTTGAATCCAGTATCCTGTTTCTTTTTCTCCACCAGCTTCGCTTTACGTTTTGCTAGTTGAGCCGGATCCGTGGTGGTAACCTTCAAGAGCTATGTTTGATTCACAAATCCTTGTTAGAGGCTCGGAAAAGACTTACTTTGAGGATCATACTCTTCCTATCAAGCAGATCAGTCAATTCGCCCATATCTGCGTCATCTTTTAGCCAAACACTGCCGGTGCGACTCTTCATTTCGGCTAACTCTCCTTCACCGTCACTTTCAGAGGCATCACTATCCTCGAGTAGCTTTAATATAGTGTCAGCTCCAGCAGTTCGAGCAGTCATTCGTGAACCCGCTTCACTATTCTCTATAATACCAAGTTATGTTAAGTAGAAAGAGAGGAATTGGGTTTCTTTTACCCAACCCACTGACCTTAATCTTGGCCCTACTTCCTCAATCCTCAAATATTTTAAAGGAATATAGAGGCTATCGGTACCTTCATCACTGTCCTTCGCGTTTCCTCCACCACTGGCTTGCCGTTCTTTTCTCCTATTTATTTTCTCGATATTCCTCAACTGCTTTACCCACTCAGGCTTGCTTGTATATTTGAGCAGCACATTTACACCAAACTTGGCAACAAGTACCTCCAGTAGCAGACGATTTGCTTTGCGAACCTGAAGGCCAGAGATTGTAGAAGCTATCAACACTTAAGTATCACTATGCACTTACCTTGGAGGTGACATCACATGTTAGTTGCCCTTCAAATACTGAATTGAGTATTAGATCACGATACTGCTGTAAAGCATACTCGGGCATCTTCTGTACAAGTACTCGCAGTAATCTATAACAATACAAGCAAATGAGTGATGAAATTACAGCTAATTGAATGTAAACAGACCTGATAACTAGTATTCGAACAGGCGGCCGGCCATCTCCTATCCATGCACATCCATGGGCAACCAAACGTGAAATATGTCCTCCGTTTAAAACCTGCAGAATAGTTTTTAAAACAAAATTTGTTTCCGCTGAAATTCTAGTATTATCACTTACTCTGAGTAATTTTTGAGCTATTATGTTGAAGGCCACCAACGTTGATCTAGCTATGTCCATTTCCACGCCCCCATTGTCGGAATCACCACTTGGTGTTGCTATTTCGTAAATTCTTGCTAATATACCGCTCAGAACTGCTGATATCTGTTGCCTAAAAAGATGCCGTCGGCTGTGGGTATAAATACAAATGGTATTTAACCGCCAAGAGTTTAAGAATGATTACTCGTTCTCTGTTCCCACTTCAATTAGTTTCTTAAACATGTACTGCAGACATTTACTGGCATTAGAACGTGTATGAGTGTTATTAGCCTGAATTAAAAAAATACATTTACTATGAATGTATGTAGAAGTGGAAGAGAAAGTGGAGCTACCTTGTCCAAGCACAAAACTACAGCATCGAGTGTCTTCAGACAAAAATCGGACAACCTCGGAAGATCAGCAAATGAATCGAGAAGTAGTTGAATGGATGAACACTAAAATATTCTTCATTTCATCACTTCGCTTAGGGCTTTCAACGAGGGCCAGTTAAAATGTGGTCAAAGAGGGACGGAGGGGGAGGGGGAAGAGGAGGCTATAACCCAACAAACTCTCCTATTAAAGGCTCAAAGAATAAATGGCCTGGAGAAAGGGAGCACATTGGAGCACAAAGATGACGATACTCATACTGGCAACTCTTGCTCTTTTCCAACAACGAAGAAGAACTCATTAGAAGTACGATACGTATTTTGGGAAAGACTGAATGGTTAACGCAACATACGAAGCCTGCTCGAGCAGGAGGCACCACAGATGCGATAGGACGTAACAACGCGTTTTCGAAATCTGACAGCCTCGATGAAAAGAACGATTCCAAATCAGGTGAAGCCCTAAAAAGGAAATCAGTTTCATATGATTGGGAATACATTGATTTGAACTGACCTTTTTGCCAAAATCTCCTCCATTATCCGATACGCCTTTTTCTGCATTGCCTCCATCCCAAACCAAGGAATTATGGTGTCCATGACCTTATCCAAAGTAGTGCAATCAGCACTTCGTGAAATCGCACATAGGATATCCAGTATTCGAGCCTGTTTTATAACGCTTTAAACTAAGAAACAACGAAAAATGAAATTTGACCAATGCCAATAGCAAATATCGTATGTGTACGTGTGCAATGTATGCATGTCAGATTAATTCAACTCACTTGTTTAGAAGGATCTTCAGAAGCACCATTCGCTTTCGTTATTGCTGCATCAACGAAATTGGCCACCAAATCTTTAGGAGTAAGTTCTGCATATGTTCGAATCGTTTCCAGCACAGCCATTCTAAAATAATAATATTTCTGTTTCACCACGCGACGGGAAGAATCCGTAAAAAGATCATCTGCTAGCATGTTTGAGTACTGAAACATTCGAAATGAGG